TTAGAGTTGGAAAGTTAACCACTTTTTCATTACAAAGCCCATAATTCACAAATGAATAAAAATTATGTCTCCTACAAAATATTTTTCTGTGATTGTGATACAAGTGAAGTTGTCTCTAAGCATATTATACTGAACTATAAATTAGACTGATGTATTCTCTCCCAAGTTCTAGCAAAGGACAAAGTATATGAGGTTTAATGCAAAATAATACAAGGATCTAGTCACAGTAAACTGATCGTCCTATATGCTACTACATATAAAAACCTCTCTGTATATGAATCTTACAGCAACTCTATTAGTTATACAAAAATACTGAAGAGAACCCAAATGTCCTTCCATGGGTGAATGGCTGAACAAACTTTGGTATACCCACGTAATAGACTACTACTCACAATAAAAAATTATGAACTACTGATACATGTCACAGTCGGAATGGACCTCAGGGACTTATGTTTAGTAAAAAATCAATCTCAAAAATTTACATGCTGTATGATTCCATTTATATAACATTCTCAAAATGGCAAAACTATAGAGATAAAGAATAGGAGGGGGCAGAGAGGTGGATGACACTACAAAGGGTAGCATCAGAAAGTTCTTTCTTAATGGAGCAATTCTGCGTCTTTCTAGTGGTAGTAGTTACATGAATCTATACATGGAGCAAAACTGCACAGAACTTCACACATACACATATGCACACACACAAAAACAAGCTAACAGTGGTGAAAACTAAATGAGGTCTTTAATTAACAGTAATATTTCAATGTCAGCTTCCTGTTTTCGATACTGTAGTATAGCTATACGATGTCCCCTTGGGGGGGGGGGGGCTTACACAGGTGAAGGTGAAGGGTAGAAAGGATTCTCTGCGCTATTTTTGCAATTTCCTATAATTATTTCAACATAAAAGTTTAAACAAGAAAATGGCCCTTGGTATGATAATTTGAATTTGAACCTGGGTTTGCCTGACTCTGAAACTTGTGCCTTTGTGTACCCTACTGCCTACAAAATGTTTCATTAAAATATACCATGTATGCATTATTTCCTACAGAGAAGAATATAATATATAGAAGGCTCATCTGGATCACATTTAAAGAAATCTAAGGAAATTCAACACATTTTATTAGGAAAAAATTAAGACACTGAATCATTTCATTCATGGCAGCTAACCCCAGGCGTTCCAATGTACTAACATGGACTTGGAAAGAAACTTTAGAAGTCTGATAGAAAGCGATGACCGGGCTGCTTTGGCACCTTGACTATAGGCACTCTCTCTCTCCTTCTCACTAGAGGCAGCCCCAAAGTTTCCTGCCATGTTATCTTGTTCACCAGAAAGGTTAACCGCTGTTCCTCTCCTTACACACTAGGCAACAAAACTGCACAGCAGAAAGCTATAAATAGTCATTACACTGCACATTTGGCATCTCTTTTCCATCTACCCAGAACTTCCTAATGAGGCTTCCTTGTGAGATACAGAACATTGCCAAATTGTAATCATCTCAGCCAGAGAGGTGAGCTAAAGGTGCCAAATGGTTTTTGGGAGAAAGAGAAAGTTGCTTCCTGCCTTCATATCGATTCATCAAACCCTTGTACACTATGTGGCAACTATGAAAAAATTACACATACAGGCAATGACAAAGAATCAAAATAGTAATGAAATGTTTTCATGTTAGTGATGTTTTCCTGTTTCACACCATTTTATTTTATTTTAATTAAAAAATACCAGTAAAAAGTATTTTTTTTTATAGATCAAATAAATCATTTTTAAAATCAGAGCCAGCCCTAGCCAGTTTGGCTCAATGGTTAGAGCATCAGCCCATGGACTGAAGAGTCCTGGGTTCAGTTCTGGCCAAGAGCATGTGCCTCAGTTGCAGGCTTGATCCCTGCTGGGCATGTGTGGGAGACAACCAGTCGATGTGTCTCTCTCACACTGATGTTTCTCTCTCTCTCTTTCTCCCTTCCACTCTCTCTGAAAAGCAAGGGAAAAAATATCATCGGGTGAGGATATAAAATAAAAAATAAAATAAAGTCAGAGCAAATCTGGTTCATTGTATCAAGTTCCCAATGCTGAATGTACTATTGGTCAGAGGTGCTACAAATTCAATTGCATGTCGTTTTAACAAATATACAGTATCAAGTGTTTATTAAGAATGTAAGGGCAGGACATTGCTGTAGGAAGTAACATAAAAAATTAAAGATATCAGTCTGTAGCCTCAAGAGGGAGATAAATAGGTATACGTTTAACAAAACCCAAGAAAAACTGTAATTACTGCTACTGCTAAGTGTGCTAACGTGGCAATTCAATATTAAGAAAGAGACAACTCATGAAAGTGGTCTTCAGGTATTTAAGAAGAAAATACATGTCATTAGTTGTGCTCCACAGGAAAAATTTAGGATCAATGGTTAAAAATTACAAGTGTATACAAAAAGTTGGTTGTACACACACACAAAAGAGCTTTTAAAGATTTTGAGAATACCATGCTAAGGAAAATAAGTCAGACAGAAAATGGTGATAGACAGAGGCCTGACTTTGGGTGGTGAACACACAATATAGCGTACAGATGGTGTGTTGTGGAATTGTGCACCTGAAGCCTGTATACTTTTGTTAACCAGTGTCACCCCAATAAATTCAATAAAAAGGGGGGAAAAATAAGTCAGACAGAAAAAGTCACGAACTATATGATTTCACTCATATGTGGGATATAAAACTGAAAGCAACAAATCACAAACAAGAAAAACAAACAAAAACTTAATAGACACAGACAACACCATGGCTGTTACCAGAGGAAAGGAGGTGGATAGTAAAGGGTAAAGGGAGTCAAATACATGGTAACAGAAGAAGATTTTTACTTTAGTTGGTAAACACACAATGCGATATACAGATGACGTACCATAGAAATGTAAACTTGACACCTATATAATCTTTTTTTAATCCTCACTTGAAGCTATGCTTATTAATTTCTAGAGAGAAAAAGAGAGAGAGAGAAAAACATCAATGTGAGAAACTTCGATCGGTTGCCTCCCATAGGCGCCTCCACTAGGGATCAAACAAATAACCTAGGTGTGTACCCTGACCAAGAATCAAACCCGCGACCATTTTGGTGTAACGAACAATGCTCCAACCAACTGAGCTACCGAGCCGAGGCAACACCTATATACTCAATTAACCAATGTACCCCCAATAAACATTTTAAAAATAAAAAATATTTTTTTAAATAAAGCTCACGTTTATAGAATTAACGGCATAATAAATTATTGACAATTTAATAACTACAGTGATATCTGATTATACCTTTGTACTGGAGAGGAGTTTATGAGATTTTCAAGGGCCTGTCTTCTCCAGAGGCCCCACAGATCTGAGGAAAGCATCATGATACCCAAGCAACAAATGAACAGTCTGTAGAGACTAGATGTAAGGGAGACTTGCAGCCTGTGAGGTAACCTGAAGATGGAATTCTCTCCAAAAGACGTGATTCATAAATCTCCAGAAAGATCCTCTCTCTTAACCAGTTTTACATTTCAGAGAGGCAGCAGAGGAGAAAGGAAGTACAGCGGCATCAGAAGAAGAGAAAGCGAAAAGCTGAGCTCTGATCGTGGCAAAGCAGATAGAGTACAAAGCAACTGACGTCCGTAACTTCCCACTAAGGCACCAGAGCTGGGCTATGTCATGAGCCATGTTCCAGTTCTTCATGACACCCTTCTGTTTACCTACCAAGGCATGTTCCTACTATCCTGTGTGAATTTAACCATCACCAGGGAGCACCATAAGACAAACTTGAACCTTACCTGAATCCTGTACCCCTGGATAACAGGAACACTCAAGGAATTAACACCCACCACTCATCCGAATATGACTTAGATAAAACTTCCGGACAACCCCTTGTGACCTATGACAAAGCCAAGGCACAGGCCCTACAGGTTTCCATTCTTTGACTCATAAATGATGAGCTGAACTATTTGTCCCCATCAACCATTCTGGTTGGTCGGTCAATGTCTGGACTCGATGAAATTTTAGTCATGCTTTCCTCCTTCATCCAAGCCTCCGAGCTTTGGCCCGCCCTTGAGAATGGAAGGTGAACAACCCCTCCTCAATGACCCCTCTCAGAAATCAGTTGACCTCAGGGAAAAACATTCCCTGACCATCTGTCTAATCATGCCACCCAGTCATCCCCTTGCCCCACACACAATCCTTTCTAGGCTATTTACTCTCCTCTGTAAAAGAAGAACCCTATTTTGCTTGACCTTTGAGGTGCTTATAGGCCTCATGGTTGAAGGGGTTCTTCCTATTGCAACATTCTTCCTTTTCTTATTGCAACAGTCCTCTTCCCCTTATTGAAATAATCTTTTTAAATAAAGCTAACATTTATTTTTAAAGAATCACAACTATTACATATTTCTTGATATACAGCCACATAGTAAAATATATAGGAGATCCAGACCACCATAAATAACACTGTTATTTTTCCATATTCAAACATGAAAATGACTTAGACAATTAATTATTAAAATAATGAAAACAAAGCATTTCATAACTAACATGAAAAGTTGAAACCAAACAACTGAGGTGTGAAAATCACAGAAAAAAATTTACATTTTACTTGTCTGGTGTAATTCAATCATCTCTTTATAACATATTCTAAAGAAAAAAGCTTGGTAAACTGGTTTTTATGTTGGCCAATTGTCACCTCAAGCATAAAACCCGCAGTAATATAGCTGCTAAATTTCTTTCCAAAGAACTTTCTGCGCAATCTGTCACCTTTCCATTGGTCCAGTATCCTGCTCTCAATTTGGCATGGATACTATGTAGAGGTAGCACATTAACTGTGGCATATCCACAAAAATAAATCCTCCAGTTTTTAATCAAGAAGGAAATACATAAGACATTTCTATACTATACTAAGAATGATATCTTTTTCTAAAATACTTATATTCCTGTTTATGAAAAAATATTTTTAAATAATAAATACTTGTAAAACAAACACATCACAAAAAAATCAACTACTCACCCGCATTGACTATCGCATCTACCTCTAGCAATGTGATGTCGCCTCTGTAGAGAGAAACTTTATCACTCAAATTTTTCTTCACCTGTGATGTTTCCTGAGTATTTTCTTCTGTAATAAAAAAGCAATATATATTAATAATAATATTCTTAATTAACTTAATTAAGGCAATTTTGATACAAAAGCCAGTATGAGTCACACTCGAACACATTAGACAATGTGTAAGTGTCAGGGATGTGGCTTATTTTCTATATATTATGTATTTCTAAATAAAATGCGGTATCACATATATAATAAGCATTCAGTAAATGTAGGCATATTATATTGGTCAACCAAAAAATGCAATGTTTATTACTATTATTGTTAAAATATCAATTTTAAAATTAGGCAGCACCACTTTCATAGGGAGATAAGAAAAAGATGTGAAATTCCAAGACAAAATAAATTCCCACAGTGAGTGAGCTTATTTTTTGTTGTTACAGTTACCTAAAAGACCTTATTGAAAAGAATATTTACTAGGAACAAAAACATTTAGGTTCAGCTCTTTGCTACTTCTAACAAGCTATCCCTCAGAATAAAATGGATTAAGAATATTTGAATGTGTGAAACTACTTGTTTCTTAACAAATAATATATTAACCTTTCTCTCTAGAGGGCACCGCTAGATTTAAAAGAGAAATAGCTCTGTCCTGCACACAATAGCCAGCAAGGTAGTATAATTAAAACAAGCCAAACATTACATCCTAAAACCTGACATATTTTAAAATGTTTTAGAGAAATGCTTTAACTTGAATTCATTTTTAACAAATAGTAATGTTAAGACATTAAACAAAGCTATAGGAAATTAAAATACATTAAAATGCTATGTTTAAAAAGCTTTTTAATATACCTCTAGAAAAACTAATTTATGAACTCCAACTTTTTAAAGTATTTATGATCTGTGCAAATCTTTCAATGGGGAAGATAATGCTATTAATTCACTATGACACTCTCAGATGAGCATGCAGTTTGAGGTATCTGGGTGACTAGAGGTGATAGGTTACAAGTCACTTGAATTGTCTTTGGGCCCCAGTAGCCAAAGGAAAAGTTGTTTTCCATCAAGTATCGATATACTTATTATTGTTGTTGTTGTTATTACCATCATTCCCTATCAATGAAAGATAACTTTTTGTGCTCTTACCAAGCTGCTAGTAACTGGCCCAATGACAAAGACTTTGAGCCAGAAGACCTTGAATTCCACATTCAATCACTTTCTATTCTTACTATTTTTACTAAATTAGAAAGTCCTGATTCCAATTAAAGATTGTTGGATGACAACAAATATTTGGTGGCTTTGTCAAAAATTTCTGGGTATTTGGACTATTTGAACCTAGAAATTTAAAGACTTCCCAGTGATGATGAGTTTCAGAACTCCATCAGGCATTAAATTGATAAGCATATCCCAAATGAGAGTGAAAGGTTGTTTTAACTTGGGTGAAAGAGTTAAGGATTCCTAATCCATCCTCTAATTGCATTTTTTTTTTTAAAGAGAGGAAGGGAGTAGGGGGACAGAGAGAGAAAGATACATCGACCTGTTGTTCCACTTATTTGTGCATTCATTGGGGGATTCTTGTATGTGCCCCTGTTATTGGTGGGGAGCTATGTCACCATCTGTTGCTGGTGAAAGTGGGCTTCTTGCAATGTCATGAGAAAAAGAATTTTCTGAGACAGGGAAGAATGAGGTATTGTAGAAAGCTTTCTTTCTGTGGAATCAAACCCCTTAGTTTCCAAGGTCCCTGTTCCCTCCATCCTGTCAAGGAAAAAGTCCCAGTTTGTTTTCAGCAAAATTAGGATTAAAGCTCTTGCCCAGAGTTTCACGTCTGCACAGTCTAATCCAGCATCCGGCTAGCTTAGTTTGTGTTCCCAGCTGTAGTCCATCAGGCCATTGCATGTGGGGTCCACAGGGCCAGATGGTTATGGAGGGAACATAGGCAGGAGCAAAGCCAGAGGAACAAGAGAGCCAAGAGCCAAGACAGCAAGCTCCTTTGTCTAGTGGATTATGTATTCCCAAATTTTTGTGGGCTTGCAGTGGTCCCACCCCCTCTGGCTAATGATTTCTGTTCCAGGTTAGACTGACAGGCACCTTTCCTAGGTTGCCCCGACTTTACTGTGTATATGTCCATCTTCCCCTCCCCACAGTGATCTCCAGGAAATGGACCAGTGGGTCCCTGGGGAGTGTAAAATTGCAGCTTCCTGGTGAAGCTGCCTAAATGGTCATGCTTATAATGTTTGGCCTCCGTTTTGCTCCTTTCCTATTATTAACTAGCTAATTATAATGGTATTACCCTGACCAGGGATCAAACCCATGACCTTGGCCTATTGGGACAATGCTCTAACCAACTGAGCTACCTGGCCAGGGCTTCTAGTTGCATTTAGTTCTGAAAAGTGTTTCATTTTTTTCATGAAGCATTATGAACGTAATATTGCATTTGGAGTAATGTGACTTTTAAACTTATGTGACAATAAATCATGTATTTCTTTTAAATAATGGTATTGGAAAGCATTAAAGCTTAAACCATTTATACTACAGTTCAGTTTTCTTAAAAGAAATCCTAATTTCTCATCTGTGAATTTAAAAAATGGAATATTTTCAGCCTAAAGGTTCAAGCAGTTGAACATATTGAATAAATATACTGCTGTGAGATGTCAGTCAAGTAAGTTACTCAAACTGCTTATTAGAATTATCAGCATCATAAAGAATTATCAGCATCATTTAAAAAATTCACATAAGCATCTCTTCCTCATAGCCAGACTTATACTTGCTGCCCAGTTCCTGACATGATTTATCAAAAAGGCAGAAATGTACTCAAAAGCTACAATTAAGAATATTAATAATTATCAGCATTTCCTTCAACAATAAACCATTACCAAATGGCATATTTTTGACCACCTGTTCTCTGTAACTACAACAATGTAAATTACCACGAGAGGCCACTTATTTTATTTGAATAGCAATGCACTGCCTTCCTTTTCACACAACTGAGTTCCATCAGCCCTGATCCTAATTATCTTTCCCATACCCTGGGTTTTCAGTAATGAATGGAACAGAACATTTTCAAGTATCGCTGTCAAGTATCATCCCTCATGGGCACTTTATATGTGCACAAAGCACCAATTCACATTTTGTATATCACTGGCTTTATCCAAATGCAAGTTGAAATATCTGTCAGTGTGCACATGACAGTAATTGTTCTTCCAGACTGTATACTATCGGTATTATTTTTTTAACAAAAACTACAGCCCAGCTGGTGTGGCTCAGCATTGACCTATGATCCAGGAGATCAAGGTTCGATTCCCAGTCAGAGCACATGCCCAGGTTTTGGACTCGATCCCCAGTAGGGGGTGTGCAAGAGGCAGCCAATCAATGGCTCATCATTGATGTTTCTGTCTCTCTCTCTCCCTCTCCCTTCCTCTTTGAAATCAATAGACTTTTTTTTTAATTATAAATAAAAAATTAAAAAACACACACACACAGACAGACAGTAAAGTGGTAAAAACAGATTTTATTCAGAAATGGCTGCAATAGGAGAAAAGAGACCTCAGTATAGAATCTGGCTCAATAACAAATACAGCAAGAACAAGTGGGGATTTATAGCCAAGGAACACAGTGGAGATCAATGGAAGGAAAATTACTGAAACATTGGGGATGGAGGGAAATTGTGGTAAAGAGACTAAGGATTCTAGCTGCAGGCAGGCCAGGATGATCAGATACAATCTGGGGAATAAAGGGGGGCGTGGAATTTAATCAGATATTGAGGGTGATTAGATATCAAGGGTGGGGAATTCTCTCTACATCCTGATTAGGCAGGATTCTTGCTAAAACTGGACTATGCAGGTCCAGCAGGGATGAGGCCAAGCCGAGAAAAGGGCTTGATGGAACCTCACTGAAGTTTAATTAAGAAGAGTCTTTGTCAGTCTGTCCTCTCATTCAAGGAAAAAAAGAGACATTCTCCTTTCCTTTGATCAGTGTGCATCCATATCTGGTTAGGTTGCCTTTTGTTCATTAAGGACCAGCTGAACCAACAACGGAGGCTTGGTAGTAAAGGATATTGACAAGGTGGTGTGAGCAGTCAGGCATCTAGTGAGGGGAATTTTGATGAAAATAAAAAGAAAAATAAAGATTAATGGATGGAGCTGCCTATTAAGCCAGTTTATGAATCCAGAGCGCAGACAGTTCAGAAGGTTTCTTTATATTGAGCTGGAAGCGTCTTTTGCAGCTTGAATGCCCTCGGTGAATGCATCAGGTGTTCCAGTGAATTTTCTGAAGGGCCACACAACAGCAGGGATGAAGGTTGACTGCATGATCGGTTGTGATGATTTCTTTGAAGTTTGTATCAGGTCATCCAGCTTCAGCTTGCAGGGCTTCAGGAAAAGGGCAGTTTCAGTTCTCAGTGATGCCAAATCAGAAGGGGGAAGAAAAATTTAAAACGTTTTGACTGCAGCAGCCAAATATTGGAGGAAACTAGAACTGACAAAATATTCAAGACAACAGGACTAGAGTTTAATAACCCACGAGGTACACCAAGTTTTTCCAATGAAACATAAAATGTCTCTCTCGAGTCACCCCCTTTTTTATTCTTGTTTACAAATAAGTCTAGTCTAATTAGATGTGGCCTGATTACTTACATAATGCAGCAAAAATGGTAATTCAACACTTGGGTCTTCTGAGTTTGCTTTCCTCGAACTTTTTTTTTTTTATTGTTCAAAATATTACAGATGTCCCCTTTTTTCCCCCATTGACCCGTTCCACCCTGCACCCACTCCCTGCTGCAGGCCTCCACCACACTGTTGCCTGTGTCCAGGGGTTACGCAGATATGCATATAAATTCTCTGGTTAATCTCTCCCCACCACCCACCCACCCACCTCCACCTTCCCTCTGAGATTCGTCAGTCTGTTCTATGCTTCTATACCCCTGAATCTATTTTGTTCATCAGGTTATTGTGTTTAGATTCCACATATAAGTGAGATCATGTGGTATTTGTCTTTCTCTGCCTGGCTTATTTCACTTAGCATAATTTTCTCCAGGTCCATCCATACTGTCCCAAAGGGTAGTGCCAATCAGTACATGGATG